CCATTTTCAAGTACGACACTTTTTGTTCTTAACGCAAACTTTCGAAATGCGACGTTCTTTGTAAGAGGACAAGTTGCACTATAAGCCTGTAACACAACCACTGTATTCTGAGACCCCACATCTACATTATATAAACTATAAAACTTGTTCTTTTCTGGCGGAATATTTTCCGGGTGAGCAGATTTAAGTTTATTAATTTCCAGAATTAAATTAAGACCCGAGAGTGACAATATACATTAAAGTATTTACTTTAATGTATATTTCCTTTCATATTTAATCATATGATGTGCCGATCATATAATTAAATTTGAATATAATGAAAGAAACCTTTGTTAGGCTTTCTGATATGCCTATATTTCTGATATGATCTGCCTATCTGATATGATATATTTCTGACAGCTGGGTGGACAGCGCTTCGGATTCGTAGTCCTGAGGTTCCGGGTTCGATCCCCGGTGGAGGCGGAGACAAATGGGCAAATGAGATAGGCTTCTCTTAATTTTGCCTGGGGAAGGTTGTATAGGGTCTCCGCTCGTGGCCCCTGCCTTCGTAAAATATTATTTTGCTAAGCATGCTCAACAAAATTATTACAGCAATGTGTTTTATATTTAAAGTCAAAACGGAAAACTAACGTAAATAAGAAATTTTGCTTGAAACTTAAAACCCGAATGCGATGTATTATTCGAGGACGGGGTGAGTGGTATGCGGAAATCCTTACCCAAGTGCATACAGGCGTAAACATATACACAGTTAACTCCGCAAACCTTGTGTACATTTATTTACATAAATTCAGGAAAGGAAATATTTGTGTGTGCATGTCTCTCTCTCTCTCCTTCACGTTTTATCAAGGTGTCAGTGGCGTGGGTAGGCGAGTACAGGCGAACCCTTAATGGTAATGACGTACCATTAACATGGCCGCTTGTGTGTGAAATTGAAATTGAAATAAGTTTATTGAGGTAAAATACACGCAAAGGGATGAGGTAGCTCAAGCTATTCTCACCCCGTTCAGTACATCGTGTTAATACATACACATACACACATCACAAGCAATAAATATATTACCAAACATTCTGAGAGATAAACATCTAATTTCCTATGTGTGTGTTGTCTTAGTTCAAGAGATCTGATTTAGTATCTATTGTATATGTACAGTGAACATTATACATTGACTAAGAGCGAGCATCATAATACAGCGAATAGCGTAGTACAATGAACAATAGTGAAAGAACCTAATACAAGCTGGCATGAAGAGCGTTTAGTTGATATTACGGTATACGCTAATCATTATAAAGACATTATTACATAATAATAATGTTAATCATTATAATTAGCATTACTATTATTTTATTCGTTACCTTTATAACACTTATAGTTACACGAAATTATAATTGTTTATAAATTATTGTTTAAGAGTTTCCATTTGGTTAAAGTTTGGACTCGTAGGCATTACTTGTGTGTATAGCCTATTGCCTGATGTGGTCAGGACGGCTGGACGTACAGTAATGACTAGAACCTAACGAGGCCTAATATATATATATATATATATATATATAAACCATTGCTAACAATAATTAGCATTTCCTAACCTTGGCTAACATTTTCTAAATTTGTCGGTCTATAATATTTTGTATCTTAGTGTTATTATCATTTTTTTTATTTATTACTAGTTTGAATTTAAGCTTGATCTGCACATACTGTGATATGTCAATGAAAAATCTATTGGAGTATTGCCGGGGATTCGAACCCTCAACCTGGGTACTCCCAAGCCTCGCACCTTAACCTCTGGACCACGACAAGGTGTAAGTTATATAACCTGTGGATGCAGCTGAATCCACAGGACGTATGGAGCATAGGCTACTGAAACCAATCCAGGTTTTACATATGTTATCAACTCCCCCATGCACTCAGATATAGGTAATGGGGTTCTTCCACAATACTTTCCAACTTCAAATACACAAGGAACTCATACTAACTTGATATATCAATGAATATGCTAGTTCAAGTTCAAGTTCAAGTATGTTTATTGAGATAAGCAAGAAATACATCTCAAAGGGATAGAGTAGCTTAGGCTATTTCTACCCCCCAACTATATGCTAGTTATGTAATATTGGGGAGAATGTTCGCACTGTCCATGTATTGTACAATGTACATGTCTACTCATAGTTTTCCCAGAGCACATCAAACATAATATTTATAGAAAAAGATATTGAAGACCTTAATTTTTCTCGAGTATTTGAGTCTTATGTCGTAGAAGATATAGGGATATAATAGTGAGGGAGAGAGGTGATGGTGAGGGAGGGAACGGTGATGGATGAGTTATGAGGGAAAGAGGGATGGTTGATGGGGAGTGAGGGGTATTGGGAAGGAAAGGTGAGTTTGAGAGAACAATCGGGGTGGCTCTCAAGTAGCCTACCGTAGCCCTCCATCAGAGGGACTTCGCTGGAGGCTGTTTGATCGCCAGCCTCTAGTTGTGTGTTTGCCTCCTCTGCCGTTTATTATCGTCCTCTGTTTGTCTTTTCCCTCAGTTTACTGCCCTCTTCCTGCCTAATCCCCGGGAAGGACGAGAGAGAGGGAGAAATGGAAAACAAACGTTTCGCTTTGTGAGTTTCTACATCTTGATATACGTTGTACATGTCTTTACTTGCCATTTATCCTCTATATATAAAAACAATGTGTAGTATTCCCGTTACTGCCTTGCCTGCATCTTTAAGCCTCCTTAATTATCCTTAATTGTGGCCAGGTGTTGTACAGGAAGTGTGGGCCCGCTCGACCTATATGGGAGGGAGGCCGTGCGGGTGTCCACATTCTGGATAATTGGGTGTTAATAGCATTCCTCTGTCCAGATTTATTGAGGCCAAATTTGACTGGGCGCGCACTGTGTTATATCACACAAATTTCTCTGTAACATTTGCAGTTTGTATTGACTCGCTAAAAAGGCTCTACCGTAAAGCCAATTGTCATCCCAGGAGTTTTATCAATTTTCTTTGTCTTAACCCATGAGAATGCGGAATCTTATATGGCCGGTCCGGACTTGATGTTACTTGTATATTTTTTTGCTTGCACATTGTATAGGGGGGACTGTGTGCCTGCTTATGGTGGAGTGTTATCTGATATGGAACCGTCTAATGCACCCGTACGACTTGTGTTACAACACAGGGGCTAGATTCACGAAAGCACTTACGCAAATACTTACGAATGTGTACATCTTTCCTCAATCTTTGATGGCTTTGGTTACATTTATTAAATAGTTTACAGGCATGAAAACCTCCCAATCAACTGTTGTTATTGTTATAAACAGCCTCCTGGTGCTTCGAAGCTCATTAACTGTTTAATAATTGGAAACAAAGCCGCCAAAGATTGAGAAAAGATGTACAGGTTCGTAAGTGCTTGCGTAAGTGCTTTCGTGAATCTGGCCCCTGGCAGGTTATCCGTGTTTGTGGCTTTTGAAACAGTATCACATGACACGACCACCGTTTTCGGTTTTCACAACAGAAAATGTATTTGAGACCCCTCCCTCCCCTTCTTCTTTGTTTTGGGGAGGGCTCCTAAATCCAAAACATTTTGTACTAGAAAATGGTAGTGGTTCGTAAAATTGACATACTGTCCCGTTTTCTGTTTTGTGTTTTCTGGTTGGTTAGGAGAGAGGACTTTAGTACGACAATTTCTTGATGTTGGGAAACCTTAGGAAGACTGGCTGCTTCTTCACCCGGGCAATATCCCGCCAAACACACACCGAAACTACGACGTTGGTACAACGTTCGAACAAGTTTTAACACCTCCTAACCAGTTATAACAAGCAATATAGCAAGTTGTAACAACGTTCTAAAACGTCATAAACACGTTAAGCCAAGATGAAACAACTTTATTACAAGTTGTAACAAGCGGAAAATAGAGACAGTTTCGGTTTGTGTTTCCCGGGATTGGGCTCTTCAGGAGCTAGTTCAAGACAATCACTTCCGTTGTTGAAGACAGGAAGCCTGTATTTCGATTTATCAAGGTTATCTTGTGGAGGGTTATCTTGAGATGATTTCGGGGCTTTAGTGTCCCCGCGGCCCGGTCCTCGACCAGGCCTCCACCCCCAGGAAGCAGCCCGTGACAGCTGACTAACACCCAGGTACCTATTTTACTGCTAGGTAACAGGGGCATAGGGTGAAAGAAACTCTGCCCATTGTTTCTCGCCGGCGCCCGGAATCGAACCCGGGACCACAGGATCACAAGTCCAATGTGCTGTCCGCTCGGCCGACCGGCTCCCAGTTCCTCTAGGTCAACAACTAACCTCCTTCAGGATGTAACCCTCAACATTGCATAACTCTCATGTACCTTTCTTACTGCTGGGAGAACAAGGGCTCAGGTGAGAGGAACCTCACTTGACATAAACAAGGGCTCAGGTGAGAGGAACCTCACTTGACATAAACAAGGGCTCAGGTGAGAGGAACCTCACTTGACATAAACAAGGGCTCAGGTGAGAGGAACCTCACTTGACATGAACAAGGGCTCAGGTGAGAGGAACCTCACTTGACATGAACAAGGGCTCAGGTGAGAGGAACCTCACTTGACATGAACACGCCTTGACAATGGTTCAGGCCGGACCGAAACCTAGTCGTTTCTCCATGATCTGATGTGTCGTTTGGGCATCCTTTACCTGAAAATTTATTTTAATTTATTTATGGAACAGGTCTGGGGTTCTGTTTTACACTGGTCCGCCGTCCCTTTCTCAAAATTTCTTAATAAATCTCTTCTCTCTAGTTGTTTCTTGCTTAGTATTGCTGGTATGTTTGAGTGATTCTTCTTCCTATACTGATTCAATTGAGGGTCTATGGCCTGAAGAGACTATAGGGACCCCATCGCTCCGCTATTTCCCGGTATCGGGCAGCCATGATCTGATGTATCGTTTGGTCATCCTTTACCTTTCTTATGACGACGATCCGATCCCACGATCGTCGTCGCCCCTAAATCAACACAACAACAACTCGGTTGATGCCAGGTTATGGAAACAAGAGTCTCACTTTGTTTATCTTTATTGTATAACATAAAACAGCAGCAAATCCTATGTGAACACTGAACAAGATCAAGGTAACGCACCATAAATATATATTAGTGTACAAAATAGTCAATATTACAGTGACCTGCCGCTTGCTAACATTGCTAAAGAGATAAGTTAAATAAAACTAGTTAACTGTTATCGGTCGTAGGCCTAGCCAGCATTGACCTGCTGGCAGTTAGAGATTTGTTCGTGTTAACAATCGATGACTAGCTTAACTGTCCTCGTGGGTGAAGTGGGCTTAAAAAAAAAATAGTAGTTCCTCCCCAGTCAGAAGGCTCTGTTGGCTAGGAACTTTTAGAAAACAGAACTTAGATGAAAGTAGACGCTTCTATGATAATAGCAGCATGTCTAGAGAAGAACTAGGAACTAGGAAGGATGGAGCTCCGGAGAAGGCAAATGATGCTTTGGTAAGGAACTTGAAACTCTAGGAATACAGCAGATGTTACAAGACATACGTAGGAGCTCTAGGAATGAACCACGGCCAAGGAAAAGAAGTGTGGGTTCTGGGAAATAAAGAAAGAACAGTCAGGTGTTTTAGTAAACAATTCGTAGAGGCACCAGGAACGAACTTTGTTTAGCCACTAAATAAGATCTGTAGGAAAGAAGAAAAGAAGCTGTAGAAGATTAAATCAGCTTCAGGAATGACGTATAGATAATATATAGGAAATAGGAGATTTCTCCCAGGGTGGGGAGGGGCGGGACAGAGGGTTGTGGGATGGGTGGAGAAGGGAAGGGTGGAAAAGGAAGTCGAGGAGAAAGATACAATGCATGTCAGAAATATCGACAGAGGTCTAGAAGTGAGACTCGAAGGGGGGTCAAGTGGAAATATGTAGATAATCTTGGTACGATAGTCTTACGCGAGGTTTCTCTCAACGACGAAATGAAGTCAACTTAAACCTAACGAGATAGCAGTTGACGAAGCTTGTTCATATTGGCTCAATGTGTTTATTAACTGCATCTTCAAGCATCATCGGCCGAGCTGATTAGCGGGACATGTTGTATGAGGCCCGTTGGTGCTGGAGGGGGCTAAAATGCTCCGCTTCCGGAGACTATTTCTCTGCTGTGTGGGAAGGTTATCTTGAGATGATTTCGGGGCTTTAGTGTCCCCGCGGCCCGGTCCTCGACCAGGCCTCCACCCCCAGGAAACAGCCCGTGACAGCTGACTAATACCCAGGTACCTATTTACTGCTAGGTCACAGGGGCATAGGGTGAAAGAAACTCTGCCCATTGTTTCTCGCCGGCGCCCGGGATCGAACCCGGGACCACAGGATCACAGTCCAGCGTGCTGTCCGCTCGGCCGACCGGGAAGCTGCATGCAAATGAAAGCTTTCTTGTATGCAAATGATGCAATTTTTTTGTATACATCTGCTGCCATTTTTGTATGCAGCTGCGGTATAAAAATAACTGGCTATTACTAGTAAATTTTTCACAAATTTACAAACTATTGGTCAGATGAGTTGTGAAAAGTGTGATGTTAGTATTGGGGACACACACACACACGCACACACTTGAAGAGTTGAGAGGTGGGCCCAAAGAGCCAAAGCTCAACCCCTGCAAGCACAAATAGGTGAGCACCCACGATGTAAGGAGACGGGGATTCCTCTTGGTGTAAAGTGTGTTCGAGCCGCTCTACTCATCTTGGAACTCTTACGAGTATACATCAGAGTTGATGTCAATCAATAGTAATCAATAAAGTTTAAATTATACTCACTATTGTGTTTAGAATGATAATGTGGAAGAGTATGAATTGATGAACTCATGAACAAAAGTCAAGTAATTGAACAATAACAAAATAACAATCATATAACACCAATTTTTGAATAATAATACTTGGATGAAAACATCTGCCAGAGCATAATAGACTAGGCTGGTAGCTATGGTGTGGGGTAGAGGTGTCCCCTACATGGTGGTCGTGGCCCTGAGGTGCAGGGTCGTGGCCCTTGGGTGGAGGGCAGGGTCGTGGCCCTGGGGTGGAGGGCAGGGTCGTGGCCCTGGGGAGGGCAGGGTCGTGGCCCCTTGGGTGGAGGGCGGGGTCGTGGCCCTGGGGAGGGCAGGGTCGTGGCCCTGGGGAGGGCAGGGTCGTGGCCCCTGGGGTGGAGGGCAGGGTCGTGGCCCCTTGGGTGGAGGGCAGGGTCGTGGCCCTGGGGAGGGCAGGGTCGTGGCCCTGGGGAGGGCAGGGTCGTGGCCGTGCGCCTCTGCCAGGTTTACAATACAGTGAGACACCTCATAATGAACATATAAATACATATAAATAATAATTATCTAAATGCAGTATGTGAAGGAGGCTGAGGGTACGAGGCATGAATTATATGATGAACCTGCTGCTTACTGCCTCGTTATCTCGATGACTTTTGAAGATTGTGGCAACTCTTCATTCTCAGTTTCCCTTTCATCTCTATATTCGGGATAATTCGCTTCTTTTTGTTCACCTGCGTCATATTCTCTGTCGTCTGCTTTTTCATTACGTTCACCTGTTTCCCGTATAACTTTTGCTGTTTTAGAACTTTTGTTGTTCTTGTGTTCCGCAGCGCCTTCCTTATTCGAGGCTTCGACGTTTCCTTCTTTCATGACTTCATCAGCTTTATTAGACGTGGCATCTGGTTTTGTGTGTGCTCTCTCTCGTGAATCTCCATTTATTTCCTGAAGTTTAATACAGTTTATTATGCACAAACAAGTTTGTAGGATATGTATGAACTTAAAAAAAATTACAAGAATTAAGAAATTCATGGAAACCTTTACTTGTCGTGTAGTGTAGCTTAGGAAGCCTTTACTTAATGCCTTGCTTAGCTTAGTCATTTTTTTTGCTCTTCCCTTGACGAGTAAAGAGTTTTTGAGCTACAAAAAGGTGTCAAATAAAGGTTAACCTGCACAAAGCACCAAGCACAGGTAATACAAATAGTAAATACACACACACACACACACACACACACACACACACACACACACACACACACACAACAAACGAACGAGGCAGATCCCGAACGAGGGATCGTAAGATCCCGAACGAGGCAGAAACAAATGGGCAAAGTTTCTTTCACCCTGAATGCCCCTGTTACCTAGCAGTAAATAGGTACCTGGGAGTTAGTCAGCTGTCACGGGCTGCTTCCTGGGGTGTGTGTGTGTGTGTGTGGTGTGGAAAAAAAAAGTAGTTAGTAAACAGTTGATTGACAGTTGAGAGGCGGGCCGAAAGAGCAAAGCTCAACCCCCGTAAAAACACAACTAGTAAACACACACACACACACACACACACACACACACACACACACACACACACAGGAGTAAGGAGCCAGAGTGTCTATGATAAAAACAACAAGAATAAGGCGTGACAGAGAAGGTTGGGCAGACTGCATATTTTTAGGCTGCCAAAAAGCCTTTGATACAGTACCACACATGAGACTGCTATTCAAACTTAAGAGACAGGCAGGAGTAAGCGGAAAGGCCCTAGTATGGGTAAGGAACTACCTAACAGGAAGGAGGTAGAGAGTATTGGTAAGGGGCGAGAAGTCGGACTGGCGAATAGTAACGAGTGGAGTACCACAAGGATCGGTGCTGGGACCAATTCTATTTCTAATTTATGCAAATGATATGTTTACAGGAGTGGAATCCTACATGTCAATGTTCGCGGATGATGCAAAATTAATGAGAAGAGTTGTGACAGATGAGGATTGTAGGATCCTCCAAGAGGACCTGGACAGATTGCAGAGATAGAGAAATAGCTACTGGAGTTCAACACGAGTAAATGTAAACTTATGGAAATGGGATCAGGTGATAGACCAAAGGGACAGTACACAACGAAGGGGAACTGCCTTCCTGTGACGATTCGAGAAAGAGACCTGGGAGTGGACGTGACACCTAATCTAACTCCTGAGGCACATATAAATAGGGTAACGACAGCAGCGTACTCTACACTGGCAAAAGTTAGAACATCATTCAGAAACCTAAGTGAGAAGGCTTTTAGGGCGCCCCATCATGGAGTCCCCACCTGAAGAAACACATAAGGAAACTGGAAAAGGTTCAGAAGTTTGCGATGAGGCTTGTCCCAGAGTTATGAGGGATAGGGTATGAAGAGCGTCTGAAGGAACTGAACCTTACGACACTAGAAAAAAGAAGGGAGAGGGGGGGGATATGATAGGAACGTATAAAATACTCAGGGGAATTAACAAAGTGGAAATAGATGAAATGTTCACACGTAATAGTAACAGAACGAGGGGACATGGGTGGAAGCTGGAAACTCAGACGAGTCACATGGATGTTAGAAAGTATTCTTTTAGCGTGAGAGTAGTGGAAAAATGGAATGCACTTAAGGAACAGGTTGTGGAAGCTAACTATATACATAATTTTAATACTAGATATGATAGGGAAATGGGACCGGAGTCATTGCTGTAAACAACTGATGGCTAGAAAGGCGGGATCCAAGAGTCAATGCTCGATCCTGCAAGCACAAATAGGTGAGTACACACACACACACGCACGCACGCACGCAACAGGTGATAAAACACTTGGCCTCACAAATGCCACAAAAACCGCATTTGAAAAGGATGGAAACCAAGCACTCGTGCTCAAACCTATGAGCTGCTTCAGAGACTAAGGCAGAGAACATAATAGTTTAGGCGAGGTTCCATGGGCTTGGATTCCCTGTTCAAATGTGGGTTTTGTTGTAATATATTATATCGCATTTGTACTGTGGTCATACAGTTCCATGTGTAAGTATTTTTCAAAACAGTGTGAAAATATATGTGTATATTAAACAAGTGACTCTGGTAATTTTAAACATAGAGTTGTCAGGTTATCTGTGACTGTACCTCTTCTGGCGGTGTGTCTTTCTGTCCTTTGGTCTTGTTCCGGGGGGTCGCATCGTGTCCAGCGCTTTGTTGATCCTGGTTATTGGCCTCAACTTGTCCGGCTTTCTGTTGAGCCTTGTTGGTGGTGATCTTAACCTGCCCAGCTGTGTGCTGGTCGTTATTGGAATTAGCAACTTTAGGGTTTTCCAGCACAGTTCTCTCTGCTGGGTTATCCTGCTTAAGTGGTGCAGCTTTCTTTTCTTCGGCACCTTTCTGTTCTTCGGCGACTTTTTCTTCGGCACCTTTCTGTTCTTCGGCGACTTTTTCTTCGGCACCTTTCTGTTCTTCGGCGACTTTTTCTTCGGCACCTTTTCTTTCTTCGGCACCTTTTCTTTCTTCGGCACCTTTTCTTTCTTCGGCACCTTTCCTTTCTTCGGCACCTTTCCTGTCTTCGGCACCTTTCCTGTCTTCGGCACCTTTCTGTTCTTCGGCGTCTTTATCTTCGGCACTTTTTCTTTCCTGTACATTTTCATTGCGAGTATCCTGTGGGTCAATGGCTTCATTTTCTGACCTTTCTGAATATAGTTTTCTTGTCTGATGGTTATTATGCGGCAATATGTTATTTTGAACACCAAAAGCCTCTGCCAGTTTTTCTTTCTCTTCCATTAGCCGTCTATACTTGTCTCTGAATTTCTCCAAAGAGGCAACAGTGTTGGCAGAATCTGCTCTTGCACTCTGTAACTCCTCTTTTGCTTTCCTGAGACTGTTTCTCAACTTGGGCAGCTCCTCTTCGGCTATTTTCAACTTCTCCTCATTCTCCATGAAGTTAATTTTCTTTTCCTCCAAGGCGGCTTGCAGCTTCCTGTTCTCCTCGTTAATGGACTCCACAATCTTGTTCCTCTCCTCCACTGTCGACTTGAGTTGCATGATGTTATCGTTGGCCGCCTGAAAGATCAAAATGATTTAGGAAACGTATCGGATAATTCCTTCATTGATAATTAGGTCAAAATAGGACAATTTGTTTTATAGTATTCGTTCATATAGATGAAGTGTACGAACACTTCTGTTGTTTTCCTGGGCATTTGTTGGGGTATTTTGGTGGAAAAATGAATCATGTATATTTGGACATTTTTGTGAAGCTCTAATACAGTTTGTTTATTAATATACTGTAAGTATATTAATATACTTTGCTTATTAATATACTTTGATATTATTTGACATTATATACTTTGATAATATACTTATATACAAAGATAATATACTTTGACATTAAAAAATTTTGAATAACCAAATTAATATTTATAGGGAAGATAAAAAATAGTTTTGATTGCGTTTTGAAGTTTTTGGTTATGACCTAAAACCAAGATAGAAGTGAATTGTATCAATTATGTTGACAGATCTGAACCAGGGTTAATAGGGGGTATATAATAAGCCAGAGATGATAATGTGAGTTGGTCTGAGTGTGTGTGTGTGTGTGTGTGTGTGTGTGTGTGTGTGTGTGTGTGTGTGTGAGAGAGACTGAGACTGAGACTGACATACTCAGACAAATAATACTTGGAGAGAACAGATTAATGACTTGATTGATCAGATATACAGTACAGTATTTGTTTGCATGCGACTTCCTGCGACTAATGTACAGTGATTAATATGCCATACAACATCAGTGATGAGAATAACCTTGTATTTGGAGGAGAGATCGTTGAACCTCAGGTTGGCCTCGTTCATCTGTCTCTTGACCATCATGTACCGATTCATCTCCCGGTTCAGGTTCTCCTGGCTGCAACATGAGTTAGTTTAGTTCGTTTATTATGCACCCCATACCCATCTTGTGGGCGGTAGTGGGAAGGGTTACAGAGGCACATAATGGGCTCAGGGACTGAACCCCACAATTCATTTAGCTAAGCAAGTTAAAATCTTGATGAGCTAGTTACAAAATTCAATATTAGTCGTCACATCAACAATGGGTTCGAGATCGACCTCAAGTACAGGTTCTAAATTAAGCAACTGTGAAGATGAGAGGGGGTACTCACAGTGTTTTCTTGGCTATCCCGTGGGCGAGGACGCTGTTCTCCACCTCCAAGTTGAGGTTATGATTCTTGACGAAGAGGGTCGCGACAGTCACTAGCAGAACCACCACCGCCAGAGGGGCGAGGTTTGCCATCTTGCCTGAAAAAACACACATTTCAATTCGCTAAATGTACCAAGAACAATGTATATATATATATACTAAGAACCTCCCCGAGGATGTAACCCACAATAGGTACTCCCAAGTACCTCGTTACTGCTAGGTGCACAGAGGCATCCGGTGAAAAAAAAAAACGTACGTGCCCAACTATTTCCGTTCCGTCGTAGGATCGTGACCCCGGGGGGGGGGGGGGGGGGGGGGGGGGGGGGGGGTGCAGCACCCACAACCTGTCCGCCAACAATTACGTCTGAATTTGGCCGTTTGCCCGAAAATGGTCGCAATTTAAAAATGGCAAATAATTTAAAATAAATTTTGAATTTGATTTTCCAAAACATTTTTGTCAATAGCGCGCATACGAGCGAAAAACAATATAATTTTAAGAGGACGGGTTGGGGGTAGCGCCATTATTAATAGTTTTCTCTGTTTTTATACTTTTAATAAGGATGACACCCTTATTAATTAATCTCGCTTTATTATTTCAATCTAGCTGTTCCCGGTGTGGACACCAGACGGCGGCGATCAGATAAATTACGAAGGTTACCCATTAAATCTTACAATCATAGAAAATGTAAGCACTGTACAGTATATCAGGGGAGACTTATCAGTCTTAGGACGCTGCTGCATTTGGAGCTTAACTGCTAGCAATCTTAGTATGTTAGATCATTAGACTATTTCCGACGTTAAAAATGTTACTCTGAATATTTTCTTAATTTAGATCTAAATATAACTCTAGTTATCATCTAAATACAATTTTTTTTAATATATTTAGTGGCCTTGTAAAAATATTTAAGTACCGTATTGTAGTTTCATTATTAGCTATATATTCAACTATGTACTGTACAATGAATAATTAAAGCTTTTGTATGACATAAACCGCATCAAAGCCAAAGTTTCCCATTCGGATGAGTTGAATCAAAATTTAAAAATAATTTCAACTAACGCCTAATAGATAATATAACAATATTTGTTATCATTGTATTAATTCTGCTAGAATTTACCTACTTAAAAAATTATCTGTTAGATTAAGGACCTGCCCGAAACGCTGCGCGTACTAGTGGCTTTACAAGATTGTAAATACTGTGCTATCTATTCTCACAAACCCAATGTACCTTCTTGTATATATATAAATAATTAAATACGTCTGAAAGGCAGTCATCGGAGATATCATGACTGTGATCGTTCGTTTAAAATCCCGATAACATCGTATAGCAAGGAGATCAGGAACAGTAAGTTGGCCAAGTCTATTGTCATTATTCCAGGTGAAGGCTAGGAGGGAACTTGGGTCTTAATTTAGGCGAGGTTAAAATCTTATATCGTTAAGGCTAGGCTATATTGAAATTGAAATTGAAATAAGTTTATTGAGGTAAAATACACACAAAGGGATGAGGTAGCTCAAGCTATTCTCACCCCATTGGCTAGGCTATAGGTAACGTTAAATTAAATACGAAAGTACTTGAGGAATTTCCTGTCTTAATCCTTCCTACGTGGTCTGACATATGATTGATATGATATACAATTTTATACCTAAAAGGGGTACCACCTCTGGTGCAAATGTAGGGACCCATAGCCTTGGAGAAGAAAATAAAAAGTATTCAGAGAAGACTTTGTGGATTCTCACTGAACACTTTAATATTTTCTTCTACCACCCCTATTATTTGTGTGTGTGTGTGTGTGTGTGTGTGTGTGTGTGTGTGTGTGTGTGTGTGTGTGTGTGTGTGTGTGTGTGTGTGTGTGTGTGTGTGTGTGTGTGTTGGAACTGTATCCACTCGCATATCTTTTTATCATTACGATTGCTGAAATTATCTTGCCCACCGCGGGAGGGGTGGTCGCCACGAGTACCGTTATCTGGGGTGATAGCAGGCCCATCAGAGATCATGCCCAGATAACACAGGTTACATGTTTAATCTTGGGACGACGAGCAGGGGACTCTGGGGCAGCTGACGGGGAGAGGCTCCCCAGGTCAGAGGGAAAGAGGAAAGGGGGAAGGAATGAGGGGGAAAGGGGAGATAGGGAGGGATGGGGAAGGGGAGGAGGGAGGGGGAAGGTAACGTGGGAGGGGTAAAACAAGGAAGAGGGATGTGTGTGCATACACTTGGCTAATCAACAGCATGTACAGGACGATATTTTTTAGAAATGATTGAATTTACATCGGAAGCTGTTGCCAAATTCTGATGGCTAACCCTGTCTGTGAAAGACAGAAAAGTGTGTGTGTGTGTGTGTGTGTGTGTGTGTGTGTGTGTGTGCTGGTAAGCATTGTAAAAACACTTGAGCTCTATGTAGGGGAACATGTAGGAGCGCTCACTAACCCGGTCCATGGTGGACAGAACTGGTGCTTGATACCATTGTGTACATGCGTGGTCACGTCTGTGGTGGAAAATATACTATTAAAAACTACACGATGTCTTGACTCTCCCCCCCCCCACGACACCACTCCTCCCCCCACACCACACCACACCACCCCTCCCCTTCCCCTCTCCCCCTCACCACACCACCCCTCTCCCCTACATGATTCCACCCCTTCCCCCACACACACACCACACCATTCCTCCCCCACACACACCACACCACCCCTCCCCATACACACCACCCCTCCCCTCAAACACCACACCGCTCCTCCCCCCCACACTACACCACCCCTTCCCCTCCCCTCTCCCATCCCCCACACCACTCCTCCTCCCACACCTCCCCTCCCCCACTCCACACAATCGAAACCATCCAGGATCAACTGGCTGGTAAAATCTTAACACCCAAGAAAGTACTGTTGGGTTCAGCAATAACAAAGGACCTGGCTGACCGAATACTTTCACTTGAGAAGAAAACCTCGTTCTCGACCGTCGGGCAGATCACCAAGACTCGCGGACGCAGGCATAGATACCCATCCAGGACTACCATCAAGAGAAGACAACCCCAGCATAACCTCTGATGGCTCACCACAAGATCCGAACCACTGGTGAACCTCAGGAACACGGCCACTAGGGTACACTTTGCTGGAAAATACATATATAAACTAAACCCGATTTCTGGAGGAAAGTCTTATGGACCGATGAGACGAAGAAATAAAACTAGAAATAAAAATGAATTTTGGAGAATTGATTTTTCAATTACCATCGACAGTGAAAAGAAACATAAGAAATATTAAGAAAATTCGTGTTAGAATGATTAAATCTTACCTTTTCGGTCATATTTAACAACAGCACCAGAGTGATGGAAAGAGACGAGTAGCAAAACAAAGTAGTATTGCTCATGAACGCTCACCATCATCTGTGAAACGTGGTGGAGGCAGCATTATAGCTCGAGCACACTGCTAAGACAACGGGGGTGTTTTTCAGGGCCGAGAAGTGGAATCCTCTTGACTGGTCAAGTTACTCATCCGACCTGACTCCAGTTGAGCGCACGCCTCACTTGCTGTAGACGACACTGAGGGCAGAGCGCCCCCGACACTGAGGGCAGAGCGCCCCCGACACTGAGGGCAGAGCGCCCCCGACACTGAGGGCAGAGCGCCCCCGACACTGAGGGCAGAGCGCCCCCGACACTGAGGGCAGAGCGCCCCCGACACTGAGGGCAGAGCGCCCCCGACACAAACAGTAACTGGAGGGAGATGTCTGTCCTCAAGTAGCAGCAGTTCTCAAGTAGTCATCAAAGCGAAGGAATGGTCACAGTCTATTTATTTTTAGTCCCCTAAAATGGATGGGGGACTATATTTATCTGAGGGCCACTGACACGGCTGGCCTCCTAGAAGACAGCAAGCTGGCGGCTTGTCGAAGGTCCCCCCCCCATATATATACATATAATCTGCAATTCTTACACAATTTACCCGATATGGATATATATAATGTGTGTAAATCACGAAAATTAACACGTGATGAAAAATGTGACCGTGTCATCAGACCACGGAGGAAGAATTGAACCGGGAATTTCCTTAAGTACTTTCATATTTAATAATACATCTTCAGAAGGGCCTTCTGAAGCCATATATATATATATATATATATATATATATATATATATATATATATATATATATATATGTATGTATATAAAAATATAATATAATATAAATAATATACCCTCTACACCTTAACCTCATAAGTATTGTTTCCATATCAAGTCCAATGTTGTAGAGCACAAAGCCATAACAATATTGCGTCGCTCTTTAAACACTTACGGAGTGCTCTGTATATATTTTTTACATGGAGATTCCTCCGCGGGCCCCAAGGCTCTGGCTGGTCCAGTATGTGTTACTCACTTCTGTCTTAGACGATGGATGAGTATACATGACTCTTGAACTTGGATGTCCGAAGGGAATGGAAAGGATGCGGGTGGAAAAGGGGATAGAGGAGGTGAAATTCTGGAAGAGGATGTCGGTGTAGAGAGAGAGAGAGGAGGTTTGAAAGTTCGGTGGGCTGTCTATAATGGGTTGGCATAGGTGTGGGTCGTTTGTTTGGGTATGTGGGGCTGTCATTGGCTTGGGTGGTTAGTGTTTGTGGCGTGTCTGGCTACCTGGTGTTGGTGTCGTTCGTCGTCGAGCGAGAGTGTTAATTTTTAAAGTCGTTGGAGTTGGCCACCGGAGGCAGTCAACTCTAATAGCTAAGTCTCAACATAATCTCCTATGTTTGCTTCAGTGAGAATATGTCCAGTGTGTTAGAAGAACTGCGACGCTGTTAAATCTCTGTTTGCTTTGTATGCGAATGGGTGTTCATATGCAGACGAGGAGTCAAAATAACGTGGCTGAAATATGTTGACCAAAGCGCACACTAGAAAGTGAAGGCACGACGACGTTTCGGTCCGTCCTGGACCATTCTCAAGTCGATTGTGTTGTTAGGTATGAGAAACTGTCCCGCACAGACCAATGCGCGGCTTCTGCTGTATCATATATATATTCTTATGTTCTTAGTTCCCAGTATCGGTTCTTCATAAAGCTACAACTGCCAGGCTGTTATATAATTGCTAATGCAGAACGAGATGGTTGAAGGGTCCACCTGGAGTGTCCCCCTCACATGGCTTGCATGGGGCCCGCATGAAATTCCTTTTGTTCTAAGACTGAGATTCTCACATTCTTGCAAAGTCTTGCCCATTCTGCATCGTAATTTGTTTTGTCTTGCTTCTCCTTTGATTGCTATGAGACAAATCTATTCTTGATGATTACAATTTGTATCACAGTCACAACAGTTGTTCGCTCTCACAACTGGTGACTGCATCTTGCTCTTCGGTGGGGGTGATTGTAGCTCCTTCAACATACGTCTGTCTGTTGTATAAAAAGTCACACTTCTTCCTTTGCAACAGAGAAATTAACAGCTAAATGTGTGATGGTATCATGAGGGAAGTCTTACCCGATAACAGATGGATCTGCATCCTATCCTGACTGCACAGCTAATCTCACGGCCACGTGTACCAATAAAGCTTTCCTCTGGTGCTGCGACACTTGGTACATCCAACTCTCTCGACGGCCGAAACAAGAATAAAGCCGGAGCCTTTTTGAGGCTCATCTGTGTGAAAGGGGGGGCCTCCCCCCCCCCCTCCCCTCCCTCCTCACGAACGGAACTCGATCCAATCACATTCTGCCATGCTGTCACTTTTTCTGGATTGGTCTGGGATTTTGGTTTGATTTTTGATTGGTTTGGGATTTTCTTTTTCTGTGTGAAAGGGGGAATGGGGAAGAAGGGCCTCGATCCCCTCCCTCCTCAGTCCAGTCACATTCTGCCATGCTGTCACTTTTCTGGATTGGTTATCACGTCATGATCCTGTGGAAAATTCTAGACTATTTGGAGCCACTGTTATACTTACAAAGATTAACGAAAAGACGAAATATATGGTAAATAAATTAATAAATAAATAAATAAATAAAAGTAAATGTTAACTAAAAACTTTCTCTCACTAGATTAGTGTAACTGAGATTGTGTTTTTGGTTGTAGATGGAATAGTGGATCGTACACTTACTCTTCATCACGAGAAAAATTTATTCCTTGTACCTTTCTTGGTTGTTTAAATTTATATATGTGAAAGGAGATTACCATCTATAGTTGAGATGGGGACCTATAATCTTTGAGAAAAGGGCAAACAAAATTAGAGGGGATTTTGTATTGTTTCTAATACAAAATAAATATTTATATTAGTATGATGATATATTAGTATGATTTATATTAGTATGATTTATATTAGTATGATTTATATTAGTATGATTTATATTAGTATTTATATTAGTATATTTTTTTAAACGGTCTTTCTTGTAGCCATGTGTTATTAAATATGATAAAACGAGTTAGATTACATGGACAAATATCATCTAACTTTACAAATTGACAAATTGATAATTGACAAATAAAACGAGTGTTAGAAGATTCTAACACGAATCGTCTCTGTATTCCTTAGACTTTTCTTTACTTGTGGAGGAAGTTCAAATATTTGTCAAATTTCAATGAGCTTGATGTGTTTTGCTGAAGTACAGCTTCGCATTCTCAGGGGCAAAGGGCCAGTGAATACAAAAGGACAAACACAAAAATATATTTTTCAGGCGAAGGTGATGAGTAGAGACGTGGTTACCCTGTCGAGAGGATCGAATACTCGAGTCCTGCAATCTCATTGTTTTGCTGAGATAAATCTATTCTTGGTTCATTGTACACTAACCTGTCTCTCTCTTGCTCACGTTGATAAGTCGTAGTTCAGTCATCAATAGGCAGCATACAGTTAGACAAGTCCTGTAACTTACGAGGCTAAGAGAGAACTGCTAGTTTACATTACACCTAGCAGTTATCTCATGTCTAGTAGCTTGTAGGACTTAATTGTATGCTGGTTGTTGATAATTGCTTCGACTTAACATCACCATAAGCAAGAGATAAAGACCAATGTACAATGAACCACATTGTGTTGTACAATGTACAACATTTGGTCCTGCAATCAATGAAATTGCAGGACCAAATATTCTCCTGTTCTCTCGACGGGGAAACCACCTTGACTCTCATCATATTTGCACGACAAATGTATTGATTGATAAAGATTAAGCCACCCAAGAGGTGGCACGGGCATGAATAGCCCGTAAGACAGATGCGTTGCTCTGTGTTCCCTTGAGCGGTTAGGACCCGATAATAGTCTAGGTCAGATAGAAACCTCGACTAACGTGTAATTTTCTATTCTTGGTGATATATTTAAAAGGAAGGGGGTTATTTTAAGTAATTGTGTGTCAGGTCATCACTAGACCCTAGTGGTTGGGTCGAGGGGCTACTTATTATTCTCCTCAAGAGATCGAATCACATGAATCGACGACAATTAATTTCCTAATGTCAATTTTTAACGCGTTATTTTGGGCTAGGCTACGTAGTATTAAGCAAGAGTGTTAACAAACCCTATTATTTTTATTACTCCTCCCTATTTTTTTTAGGTTAAATTAGCAACTATGAGCTGTGTAACATACCTATCAGCACTGTTGCCATTGTGGCACTTGTGGCAGCCCACCACAGTGCCACCACCACAGTGCCACGCTCCTCGCGTTAGAACAGCAAAAGTTTAAATACCCGGATGTTTGGTATGTTTTTCGTTACCGTTTAAAATAAATGACTTCATCATTGTGTACTTAAATTATGCAACACGTATCGCCAGATACGTGTTGATAAAATTTTGGGCAGAATTCACCATATTACATTAGGTTTTCACAAATTTGTTTACGTGGATAGGCTAGGTTCAGGTTAGGCTGTCAGGCTAGTCAGCTGTCATGAGGGCCTGACAGCTGAGTGGACAGCGCTCGGACAGTCTTAAGGTTCGATCCTCGGTGGAGATTGAGTTTCTTTCGCCCTGATGCACCTGTTCACCTAGCAGTAAATAAGTACCTGGGAGTTAGACTGCTGCTGCTTCCTGGAGATGTGTAACAAAAGAGGACTGGTCGAGAACCGGGCCGCGGGGACGCTAAGCCCCGAAAGCATCTCAAGATACCCTCAAGAAGAGAGGGAGACCTGGCCTGGGAGCTCCCTCTTACCGACAATGTCTCCAGCTGCCTCAGACTAACATAGCGTTCCATTGTTCCTGTATTCGGGTATCGCTTGGTATTTAAAGACAAAGTAATAACTCTGATCATTGATCACTGATCTGATCAGTGATCACCTGATGACTCTGATCACCTTGAAGTGAAGGTTAAGGATAATTTAAACGAGCGGAATTCTCGCAAATCATATGGAATGATTGGTGAACTAGGTCCATAAAATTCCTCTAGTCACGCAATATCTTTGTTGTGTGTGGAGGAAATAGCGTGACCGCGACAGTAGTGACAACTCACCACTGCCACGTGTATAAACATGTGCTGACGAACCGCCCCTGGCAACGTGCGTGGACGCCTCACGCTCCACACAGGCGAGAAACCCCATATCTACAGTCCCTCGATATCTGTCAACACACGACTAGATTCCACATCGAACGGCTATATCGCGCTCTCGGCATGCTGAAAAAGGTCAACTTACGGTATGTAAACAGGGTTGCAGCGGGTTTTGTCGATCCTAGAGGCAGGAGGCGAGCCGCGCTTCCCTCAGACATCGCTAGATAGCCACAACTGCATCGCTAAGCGATACACTCGCGCTATCCGGCTACGTGTTGCCAGCGCTCGCCACACGCAAGCCAGCTCTCTACAAGCGCTGCGGTTATCGATAAAAACCAATACACAATGAATGACTTGAGCTGTGTCCTGCGTGCTTTTTTAAGGTGTGTAGCTGGCTTTTAACAGTGATTGTTGAAAGGTATTTTAATCACTATGCGGTGAAGGGTACAACGTGTCAACCGGGAACTACAGGTGCTCACCACAGGTGCTCAGCACAGGTGTTTGTAGAACAGGTGTACGAGACGTGTCACAGGATAGTAACAATATTATAAAAAACAATTGAAGTGAAACAGTGTGTTAATAATTTTACTACATTCTCTGCTAGCAATGACTAGGCTTTGCTAACCTACAATTAACAGTATTCTAGAATAAAAAATCGCTTACAATTAACAGTAGTGTCCAATTGAGAGGAGCAGGATACAATTAACAATACGTTACATTACACAGTAGGCTACAGTAAACAGTAAGTTAATTTTTTCTCTTCCTCTCGCGTGGTCCTCCCTCCCTCCCTCTTGCACCGTCCTCCCTCCCTCCCTCTTGCACCATCCTCCCTCCCTCCCTCTTGCACCGCCCTCCCTCCCTCCCTCTTGCACCATCCTCCCTCCCTCCCTCTTGCACCATCCTCCCTCCCTCCCTCTTGCACCATCCTCCCTCCCTCTTGCACCGCCCTTCCTCCCTCCCTCTTGCACCATCCTCCCTCCCTCCCTCTTGCACCATCCTCCCTCCCTCCCTCTTGCACCATCCTCCCTCCCTCCCTCTTGCACTGCCCTCCCTCCCTCCCTCTTGCACCATCCTCCCTCCCTCCCTCTTGCACCATCCTCCCTCCCTCCCTCTTGCACCATCCTCCCTCCCTCCCTCTTGCACTGCCCTCCCTCCCTCATGCACCATCCTCCCTCCCTCCCTCATGCACCGTCCTCCCTCCCTCCCTCATGCACCATCCTCCCTCCCTCCCTCATGCACCGTCCTCCCTCCCTCCCTCTTGCATCGTCCTCCCTCCCTCCCTCCCTCCCTCTTGCACCGTCCTCCCTCCCTCTTGCATCGTCCTCCCTCCCTCCCTCCCTCTTGCACCGCCCTCCCTCCCTCTTGCACCGCCCTCCCTCCCTCTTGCACCGCCCTCCCTCCCTCTTGCACCGCCCTCCCTCCCTCTTGCACCGCCCTCCCTCCCTCTTGCACCGCCTTCCCTCCCTCCCTCCCTCCCTTCCGCACCGTCCTCACTCCCTATTAACCCGAGAATTAAACACGTCCACTTTCTGGCTCACACATAAAAAGGAGACAATTCCTCCCTGAGAGGACGACTTCCCCCTTCAATAATGTCCTCTCGTCCCCCATGTTTCACTTACGTCAGTAATGTCCTCTCGTCCCCCATGTTTCACTTCCGTCAATAATGTCCTCTCGTCCCCCATGTTTCACTTACGTCAGTAATGTCCTCTCGTCCCCCATGTTTCACTTACGTCAGTAATGTCTGGAGTCTCTGCCTCAGCATATGCTCACAATGCATCAACTTTATTCGCCAGTACTTGCGAACCTGTACTTGCGAACCTGTACTTGCGAACCTGTACTTGCGAACCTGTACTTGCGAACCTGTACTTGCGAACCTGTACTTGCGAACCTGTACTTGCGAACCTGTACTTCCGAACCTGTACTTCCGAACCTGTACTTCCGAACCTGTACTTCCGAACCTGTACCTCCGAACCAGTACTTCCGAACCTGTACTTCCGAACCTGTACTTCCGAACCAGTACTTCCGAACCAGTACTTCCGAACCTGTACTTCCGAACCTGTACTTCCGAACCTGTACTTCCGAACCTGTACTTCCGAACCAGTACTTCCGAACCAGTACTTCCGAACCAGTACTTCCGAACCTGTACTTCCGAACCTGTATTTCCGAACCAGTACTTCCGAACCTGTACTTCTTTGTTCATGAATAGCGATCCTCGTAGATCCAGGACTATTAGACTAAATACCAGGGGGCCTCGTAGCCTGGTGGATAGCGCGCAGGACTCGTAATTCTGTGGCGCGGGTTCGATTCCCTCACGAGGCAGAAACAATGGGCAAAGTTTCTTTCACCCTGAATGCCCCTGTTACCTAGCAGTAAATAGGTACCTGGGAGTTAGTCAGCTGTCACGGGCTGCTTCCTGGGGGTGGAGGCCTGGTCGAGGACCGGGCCGCGGGGACACTAAAAAAGCCCCGAAATCATCTCAAGATAACCTCATTACGACTTTTTATACCGAAAATATGCCAATTACTGAAAACGGCGATGGGTCATATTTTGCCCAAACCCCCCTGCAGTTTTCAAAATATCTGAAATGTATGAAATTTGACTCCTGAGCGTGATTTTTGAGCCGAATTCTGACTCTCTGCACCTATTTTCATTTTCAAATTACGACTTTTTATACCGAAAATATGCCAACTCCTGAAAACGGCGATGGGTCATATTTTGCCCAAACCCCCCTGCAGTTTTCAAAATATCTGAAATGTCCGAAATTTGACTCCTGAGCGAGATTTTTGAGCCGAATTCTGACTCTCTGCACCTATTTTCATTTTCAAATTACGACTTTTTATACCGAAAATATGCCAATTACTGAAAACGGCGATGGGTCATATTTTGCCCAAACCCCCCTGCAGTTTTAAAAATATCTGAAATGTCCGAAATTTGACTCCTGGGCGTGATTTTTGAGCCGAATTCTGACTCTCTGCGCCTATTTTCATTTTCAAATTACGACTTTTTATACCGAAAATATGCCAATTACTGAAAACGGCGATGGGTCATATTTTGCCCAAATCCCCCTGCAGTTTTCAAAATATCTGAAATGTCCGAAATTTGACTCCTGAGCGTGATTTTTGAGCCGAATACTGACTCTCTGCACCTATTTTCATTTTCAAATTACGACTTTTTATACCGAAAATATGCCAATTACTGAAAACTTCGAACCCAGAATTCCCAATTGTGAGTCGAGAACAAACCCAACTGTATTACTGGGACTCTTAGTTTGTCTTTGTATTTATAACCTGCCAGGCTTATTGTGTGCACCCGAAGTTAAGTTTCAATGATTACTATTCGGTACAGTATTACTTTCACTAAACATATATTTTCTTTCTTCAGGATGGCACAAAGGTATTCCCACCACAGGTTAGCACCCCACCCACACCCTTTGCTGATCGGGAAACTTTGGAAAAGGAATTGAAGGCCCTTGAGCAAGATTTGGGTGACTTGAGATCACTCACCAACCCAAGTTGGCTCGAGCAGGATACTGTAGCCAGCTACTCTGATTCGACTACCACGGGTCAGTCATATTTTTTTTAATCATTAGTTAAGACATTATTATTATTATTGTTTCCATTCCATTCAATGTCAAAATAACTTGTAAAATGGAATGCTACTAAGATCTATCAAGTGCATGTTTAGTCATCACCATAATGAACATAATCACCATAATTCAGAACATACATATGATTTCATACATATGAACATACATATGTATGCCCGAAACGCTTTGCGTAATAGTGGCTTTAGGCATTATATGTACTAGCTCTATCTATAAGTCCACCAATCTTTGTAAAAAAAATTCTTGTATGTATGTACCTTACCTAAATAAACATTTATTTATTTATTTATTTATTTCCATAGTGTTAGTCTTGCTGATATTTTGTAGGTACGCTTCTTGAGTGTAAGATAATTTCATGTCTATTTCTTCTGGTGATGAACAATCATAATAGCTAAACAGATACAAATTTCAGTATAGTTTTTTAGTAATTTGAAAATATAAATTCTCTTACAAATACTGTACAGTAATACTGTATAGTACTGGGTACTGTTTAGAGAAATAAAAAAAAAAGCATTTTAAAGAGCTTATTTAATTGGTTTCTGTAAAACCAATTAAACCAATTCTGTAAAACCAATCATTTTCGATTAAAAAATGGCAACAAATAAAAGCTTTTAATTAACATACTCCAGGAGCGAGTGACACGGAGGACAGCACATCGCTGAGCAGTCTCAACACCAGCATCACCTCCAACGACTCTCTCTTTTCCCCACTCAATGGATCGGGCATCAATAGAGGCTCAGGTGGCAATGGAGGCACCAAAGGCCCCAGCTTCACCCTAGCAGCCCTCCGCCAGCTTGGTATTCATCTAGAAGATGCTTATCTTAAGATACTAACAAGGTTAGGTAAGGTCGGTGTTTTCTATGAATCTTTTTAAGGGTATCTATTATGTTAAGTATGTCACCTATGCACATATTTAATAAGTCAATATTGACTTATTAAATTTGCGAGAACGGGTTGCATCTGGAGGAAGGTGAAGATATTGACTCCTTCATTGCTAACCTTACCATTCCACCACCACCTGAAGGATGTGTAGTAAGTCAAAGAGCATTTACCAATAAGCAAAGAGCTTTATCAATAATACACAGTATACACAAGGTGATTTCATTTTGTACATCACATATGATAGGTGCACAGTATGATATATGGTTTTACAAACTCTACACTAAATTAATCTTAGTTTTAACATTAAGAATTATCATGTGGTATTCTTATAAATCCTCTAAGGAAGTGTAATGCTTGTATTCCCAGGACCTTCAAACATGTGGGGAGCCGGTCGGCCGAGCGGACAGCACGCTGGACTTGTGATCCTGTGGTCCTGGGTTCGATCCCAGGCGCCGGCGAGAAACAATGGGCAGAGTTTCTTTCACCCTATGTCCCTGTTACCCAGCAGTAAATAGGTACCTGGGTGTTAGTCAGCTGTCACGGGCTGTTTCCTGGGGGTGGAGGCCTGGTCGAGGACCGGGCCGCGGGGACACTAAAAAAGCCCCGAAATCATCTCAAGATAACCTCAAGATGTGCTGAAAATCGCAGAATGGGAAACGAGTATGACATATCCGCTTTTATCATCCCTCCCCCTCCAACTTCAGATGAGAAAGACAACAGGTCATCAGATATCATAAGAAGACTATATGAAGCCAAAGAAGGCATCAGTAGGGTAAAGATTATCTTTTTCTTTTGGTAATTTACATTTACTGGAACATTTTCATGAGCATATTTGCTTCATTGTACCTTAGTACCCATATGTTATTTTGTGTAGTGTTTAATGGCCTACAATAGGATATGTTACTGTTAGGAACACAGATCTAACTTTGTGCTGGTATTTACCAAGTAGCAACCATCTCCAGTGGGGGTAGGAAGCATGTCTCACCCTTCTTCCTGATGAGCTCTTTCATTTTTGTTTTGAAGTGAAGCCCCAGCTTTAACAGCTTTAGTGAGTAGGTAAGACTTGGGTAAATACTGGTTCAGTAACAGGGTTGTTGATTTGTGGAACCAATTGCCGCGTAACGTGGTGGAGGTGGTGTCCCTCGATTGTTTCAAGCGCGGGTTGGACAAGTATATGAGTGGGATTGGGTGGTTATAGAATAGGAGCTGCCTCGTATGGGCCAATAGGCCTTCTGCAGTTACCTTTGTTCTTATGTTCTTATGTAAAAGTGTGTTTATTGTCTGTCTCGTATCGAGGTTTGGCGAGCCTCGATGGTGCTTTTAGCGAGGGTCACATTGGACTTACTTATGCAGTATTGCAATATTGTCAGAACATCAGTGTAACAGATGTTCAATTGCAACTACTTCAATTGAACAAATTCCTTTGATATCACATATGCAAGTATTGAAACTGATTGACCACTTCTAGTATGCGATTCATATTTATTTCACATGATTTCCTATTCTCTTAATTAGCATATAACATGAGTATTGCCCACATTCACTTTAAACCGTCTTCTCATACATCAATCAAAACTTTCAGCTTATCTAAGTAAATTTTTTACAGTAACACACTGCTAAAAGAATTATCATCTTCATTCATCAGATCTTCATATTAGGTTTACAACTTTTTCTGATACTGTATTCTTAGCTTGACATCTTTCATGACCCATCCATGAATTACAGTATAATCTCGCTTATCTGAAGCCCGCTTTTCCGAATCTTTGGGTTATCTGGCAGTTTTTGAGGCTGGATAAAAACTTCACCATATCTGAATAGGAATTCAGATAACCAAAGATTTTGCTGGATAATGCAGTCAGGCATCAGGTCATACTGTAGCAGTGGGTCGAGGCGTGGGGTATGGGGGATTTTGGAGGTGGCAGGTTTCAAGGTCGAGGGTTTTGGAGAGAGAGGGGAGAGTCTGGAGGGACTGTTTGGGATGTGGTGGTGTAGGCTGGTGTGGAGATTTGGGATGTGGGCGAGTGTGTGTGGGGTGCATGTGTGAGTGTACATGTATCGGAGTTTGGGATATGCTGGGTGTGTATAGGGGCGCTTTTGTGGAGGGCGAGTGAGAGATTCACAACCATTTTCTTGACGTGTCCTTATAATGACTGCTGGTGGTGGCTGAGACGGTTCCGGAAGAGCTGGGAGGGAGAGGACGGCATGTGTAGGAAGGGAAGGATTGAGTGTACGTGAGGGTTGGGAGGGTGGTGGAGGAAGGGAAGGAGGGAACCTTCAGGCGAGAGGGGAGTATGGAGTGGGTGTGGGTGTGTCTTTGAATGTTGTGTTCCTGCCTGCCTGCCTCCCACTCCATACCTGACAGCCAGTTAGTTATCCATCTATTCATCCAACCCGTCTGTACACCCACTTGCCCCACACACTAGCCAACCAACCAATCAACCAACGAACCAGCTAAACTACCCAGCCGGTCACACAGTAATTATAATGTGTATGTGTGTGTGTGTGTGTGTGTGTGTGTGTGTGTGTGTGTGTGTGTGTGTGTGTGTGTGTTATTACCTAAGTATTATTACCTAAGTGTAATTACAGGATGAGAGCTACACTCGTGGTGTCCCGTTTTCCCAGCACTCTTTGTCATGTAACGCTGGTGGCCTCCACCGCCTTCTCACTTAACTTGTTCCAACTGTCTACCACTCTGTTTGCGAAAGTAAATTTTCTTATATTTTTTCAGCATCTTTGTTTAGTTAGTTTAAATTTATGACTTCTTGTTCTTGAAGTTCCAGGTCTCAGGAAAGCTACTCTATCAATTTTATCAATTCCTGTTACTATTTTGTATGTAGTGATCATATCACCTCTTTTTCTTCTGTCTTCTAGTTTTGGCATATTTAATGCCTCTAACTTCTCCTCGTAGCTCTTGCCCTTCAGTTCTGGGAGCCACTTAGTAGCATGTCTTTGCACCTTTTCCAGTTTGTTGATGTGCTTCTTAAGATATGGGCACCACACAACAGCTGTATATTTTAGCTTTAGCCTAACAAAACTCGTGAACAATTTCTTTAGTATATCGGCATCCATGTATTTAAAAGCAATTCTAAAGTTAGAAAGCATAGCATAGGTTCCTCGCACAATGTTCTTTATGTGGTCCTCAGGTGATAGTTTTCTATCTAGAACCACCCCTAGATCTCTTTCTTTATCAAAATTCTTTAAAGATTTCTCACATAATTTATAGGTTGTGTGGGGTCTATGTTCTCCTAGTCCACATTCCATAACATGGCATTTATTCACATTAAATTCCATTTGCCAAGTGGTGCTCCATATACTTATTTTGTCCAGGTCTTCTTGAAGGGCATGACAATCATCTAGGTTTCTTATCTTCCCTATTATCTTAGCATCATCAGCAAACATGTTCATATAATTCTGTATTTCATCTAGTAGATCATTTATGTAGACAATAAACATCACTGGTGCAAGAACTGAACCCTGTGGTACTCCACTTATGACATTTCTCCAGTCTGATACATTGCCTCTGATTACTGCCCTCATTTTTCTATGTCAGAAAATTTTTCAGCCATGTTAGAAGCTTACCTGTCACCCCTCCAATATTTTCTAGTTTCCAGAACAAACTCTTATGTGGCATTTGGTCGAAAGCCTTTTTTAGGTCCAGATAGATGCAGTCAACCCAACCATCTCTTTCCTGTAAAATCTCTGTGGCTCGATCATAAAAACTGAGTAAATTTGATACACAGGATCTTCCAGATTGAAAACCATACTGTCTGTCTGATATTATATCATTTCTCTCCAGGTGTTCTACCCATTTAGTTTTTATTATTTTTTCCAATATTTTGACTATTACACTTGTCAATGATACAGGTCTATAATTGAGGGGGTCTTCCCTGCTGCCACTTTTGTAGATTGGAACTATGTTAGCCTTGTTAGGTTAGAACTATGTTAGTATGTTATAACACACGATGCACCCCTGGCCACACCAACCAGGAATCAAAAACCCAAGGACTCCTCTGGAAAACAGCAGTCTCACTCCTCGCCAGAAAATAAGAAGACAGCTCCAAACGAAGAAAACAACTACCAGGACCAAAAGAGCCCCCTGCACCAGGAGGCAATCATGAAGCTTCCCGACCCGACCCCCAGAGGCCAATGCCAACAAGAGCCTTTGCCAAACAAACCTGAACCTAAGGGGCCACCACAAACCTGAACCTAAGGGGCCACCACAAACCTGAACCTAAGGGGCCACCACAAACCTGAACCTAAGGGGCCACCACAAACCTGAACCTAAGGGGCCACCACAAACCTGAACCTAAGGGGCCACCACAAACCTGAACCTAAGGGGCCACCACAAACCTGAACCTAAGGGGCCACCACAAACCTGAACCTAAGGGGCCACCACAAACCTGAACCTAAGGGGCCACCACAAACCTGAACCTAAGGGGCCACCACAAACCTGAACCTAAGGGGCCACCACAAACCTGAACCTAAGGGGCCACCACAAACCTGAACCTAAGGGGCCACCACAAACCTGAACCTAAGGGGCCACCACAAACCTGAACCTAAAGGGCCACCACAAACCTGAACCTAAGGGGCCACCACAAACCTGAACCTAAGGGGCCACCACAAACCTGAACCTAAGGGGCCACCACAAACCTGAACCTAAGGGGCCACCACAAACCTGAACCTAAGGGGCCACCACAAACCTGAACCTAAGGGGCCACCACAAACCTGAACCTAAGGGGCCACCACAAACCTGAACCTAAGGGGCCACCACAAACCTGAACCTAAGGGGCCACCACAAACCTGAACCTAAGGGGCCACCACAAACCTGAACCTAAGGGGCCACCACAAACCTGAACCTAAGGGGCCACCACAAACCTGAACCTAAGGGGCCACCACAAACCTGAACCTAAGGGGCCACCACAAACCTGAACCTAAGGGGCCACCACAAACCTGAACCTAAGGGGCCACCACAAACCTGAACCTAAGGGGCCACCACAAACCTGAACCTAAGGGGCCACCACAAACCTGAACCTAAGGGGCCACCACAAACCTGAACCTAAGGGGCCACCACAAACCTGAACCTAAGGGGTCACCACAAACCTGAACCTAAGGGGCCACCACAAACCTGAACCTAAGGGGCCACCACAAACCTGAACCTAAGGGGCCACCACAAACCTGAACCTAAGGGGCCACCACAAACCTGAACCTAAGGGGCCACCACAAACCTGAACCTGAGGGGCCACCACAAACCTGAACCTAAGGGGCCACCACAAACCTGAACCTAAGGGGCCACCACAAACCTGAACCTAAGGGGCCACCACAAACCTGAACCTAAGGGGCCACCACAAACCTGAACCTAAGGGGCCACCACAAACCTGAACCTAAGGGGCCACCACAAACCTGAACCTAAGGGGCCACCACAAACCTGAACCTAAGGGGCCACCACAAACTAAGGAGAAGAGCACCCGGTCCAACAACCATTACAACTCCGGCAGTGCATGAGCAGGCCGGAGGTGAAACAACGCATGAGACAGCTTGTGGAATGGAGCAGAAGTAACATCAATACCGAACACAAGCTGCAGCAGCTCCGCAAGTACAGCACGATGTGAGGCAACAGTATTCGGCACAAGATGACCGCCCTGGAACAACCACGAAAGGAAGGTCAAGACAACCCCATCTGAGACAGAAGTACTCCTACGCAGAGATAAGAAATAACAAAGGGACCGCCTGGAAACTTCATACTGCCGCCGAGACGAAGCATGCAGGTGGGACACTATCAACGAAGCCACCCGCGCACAACATAAGTGATGATAGACCCCAAGGCAGAAAGCCCAGACGTGAAGACTCGAGGAGAATAGCGAACCAGCCACGTACCGGGCTGGACCGATCTGCTGAAAGAGGCAGAGCCGCAGGAAGACCCTAGGGGTTTGGACACCGAGCAAGCAGCACCTGAAACCAAGGCTGGGCCAGCCACCAAGGGGTCAGAAGGACAACTCTCCCCTGGTAAGTCTCCAAGTGAGCCCAAAACACACGACCAATCACATGAGCCGAAGAATTGCAGGATGGATAATGGACGTGAGGGTCTGGGGTTTCCCCTTCCCCTTCCTGGGGAGGTGGGGTTGTGCAGATAGCGGCGCGGTAATGTGGTGACATCATGCTCATTCACTCATTTTCATTTGGGGAGTTCTGTCCACTAGTTTGGCTTTCAGTAGCAATATTTGAACCAGAATAGGGGGTTTGTTTTGGAACGCTTACCTTTCTGGGTGCCTGACCCAGTCGATGGCAGACATAGAATGCTTCCAACCACACGGAGGTTTCTATAAGCCATTGCTCCTCATGTCTCTTTGAGCGGGAGAGGTTCTGGCTCGTGGTTCCCGGTAGGCCTAGAACTCCATGCACATTGACTGATGCCAGAGTGTAATATATCCCTATCAGCCTGGATAGCTAGCTCCAGGGAGCCATGGGGCTCCCCTCAGAAATATAGGTAAAGGGTAATGCAATTTATATTTGATTGTGAGAATAACTTCATTTCAGTAGGCCATAAGATAGTAATTGTAAGCTGTATTATTTTACTACAGAAAGAGTATCAAGAAAAACATTTTTCTTAAATAATTTACAATACAGTACTGTATATGCAATACTGTACATCCAATGAAACATGAAAGATTTTGTTAAAGAAAATTTTTATTCACAGGACAATGTGAAGGCAGCGATTCAAAACAAGGGCCTGCGTTCTCCATCACCAGCACGCAAGGCAGTAAGGAGTCCCTCACCAGACAACACAGAACGGCCTCCCTCGGTGCCTTCCAGACTGCGCAAGCCCCAGCTCAGTCCAACAACTTCTCCAACAAATAATTTACCAGGCACACACCGTCCGCGTCCTTCAAGCAAATTAAATGCACCTTCCACACCTACCAGTGGTAAAGCTCCTGCTGCCAGTCCAACGTCCCCTAGAGGTGGTACACGTTCTCCTCAGAAGAGTCCTAAAGTTAGCCGTAAGTCAGCTGCCACTGAGGAACATAAGCCTCTGCTTCCAGCTAAGACTAGTCAGTCACCAGCTCGAAGAGTTCCTGCATCAACACCAGCATCAAATGGTGTCAAAAGTCCCGTAAGAAGTGCCGACAAAAACTCTACAACCTCAAGATTGCCCAGACCAGATAACTCCAGTGTGGCCCTTAAGAACAGCCTTAACCAAGAAGTTGCTCCTCTTCAGACGTCCTCACCAAAACTATCACCTAAAAACAAAATGGTAAATGGCAAGACTCCAAATGGTATGGAGCTTGATGATTCTTTAGACTCTGGTAGCTTTGATCAAGATTCATTAGAAGAAACAGAGGATATTGAAGTGATGCCTCCAGCTTCAAGAGATGCCTTCCGTCGTTTTTCAGTAGTAGTTAGTCAATCCTTAAAATCCTTAACAGAGATGGCAGCAGCTTGTGCAGAAGCACAGCGTTCTGAAGGCACTGCCACTCAAGATGAAGCAAAATTTCAAGAAGCCAGAGAGGCCCTTACAAGTGAATCAAGACAATTTGTAACTGCCTCTAAATTATTTGTAAAGTCAGCCACAGAATCAGAAGATACTTTACTTAACTGTCTGGCCACGTGTATAACTCTGATGCAACGCATGGTTGATGTTACCCATCAAGTAGTGCGGCATACAACCACACCACTACAGACACAGAATGTGGTGGTGAAGGTGAGGGATGTGGCTACCACCTACCAGTCCACAGTACGGGCAGCACTCTCTGCTGCTGGCAGGGGAATGGACCACCCTTCCATGAACACCCTCATGACTCAGGCCACCAACCTGGCTGGTGTACTCACTGCTCTCATGCGTACACTCAGAGTATTCAGCCCGTGAATCCTCTAATGCTGTGAAATTTTCCATATATCATAGAATTGTGTGCATTATCATATTTAAGTTAATATTTGAAGTAATTGACAATAACAATCCACCAGTGACAGTTCAATGAATGCAGACTTACAAAAAAAGTACTTAATGTATTTACACGTTTGTAGATATAGAAGTAGCAACAAACGATATGCATAATGTCATCACTGTAGCCTGACCAGTTTCTGTAAATAATGATAGAAATCTCAGGTATTATGAACAGTTTGGAGAACATGAGTGTCAGCAGCAGCAACTGAAGAAGCAAGCCTTTGGTACAGGTGATGAAGTTGGGAAAAGTGGAGGGTGACCTAACCATCAGTAGAGTTGTATATTTCAATACAATGATATAAACATAATTGTGTGTATAACATAATGCCTAACTTACCCACAGTCTTGCATTTGAAGATAACTTTCCAAGTGTATGTTTGTATCTCAAATGTACTTACAGTAATTATTTTAGTTACTTTTTTATTCCAAGATCATAGTCATGATTTGCGATTGTCCTTAGTCCTGACTATTTTCATTGTTATATCTTACGTAACTTACACTTTGCATCTATTTTCTCTTTACACTACCTTACATTTTGCCTACAAGTCATTTTAGCCCCTCCCTCAAATCCCTCTGTTGATGTATATAATATCTGTACAGCAAACTTGTGACATGTCAGCCCAAGTTAGGAGTTGTAATTCAGTGTTTTTTTAGTGTAACTGCTGTATTTTCTGCTAAATATAGTGTTACAGAGTATATTGTGAATGTTTTCTTATCCTTTGGTTTATAATTGTATGTTAAGATTTAAATAAGCACTATAATGGTCTGTCATATTCAAACTGCTGAAGCAGTTTTATTCTTCTTCGATTGTCAGTTATCACCATCCATCTCCCGTCTCCCTCACCCCGTTGACCCATGATCGTCCTTGTCCATTACACGCCATATCTATATCCCTTCTGCAGGGGGGTTTGGGCAAAATATGACCCATCGCCGTTTTCAGTAATTGGCATATTTTCGGTATAAAAAGTCGTAATTTGAAAATGAAAATAGGTGCAGATATTCAAATTACGACTTTTTATACCGAAAATATGCCAATTACTGAAAACGGCGATGGGTCATATTTTGCCCAAACCCCCCTGCAGTTTTCAAAATATCTGAAATGTCCGAAATTTGACTCCTGAGCGTGATTTTTTAGCCGAATTCTGACTCTCTGCACCTATTTTCATTTTCAAATTACGACTTTTTATTCCGAAAATATGCCAATTACTGAAAACGGAGATGGATCATATTTTGCCCAAACCCCCCTGCAGTTTTCAAAATATCTGAAATGTCCGAAATTTGACTCCTGAGCGTGATTTTTGAGCCGAATTCTGACTCTCTGCACCTATTTTCATTTTCAAATTACGACTTTTTATAAGGACCATATAAGTACCATACACATGCCAATATATGTACCTTTTACTTGGCCTTATAAGTACCATACATATGCTCGTGTAATTGCCATATATATGCCCATATAAGTATAATCCATGTGCCGTTTTAAGTACCATACATATGCATTTATAAGTATCATACATATGCCTTTATAAGTACCATAGATATGCCGTTATAAATATCAGACATATGTCTTTATAAGTACCATACATATCTTTAAATGTACCTTACATAAGTACCATACATATGTCAATTTAAGTACCATATATATACCCATATAAGTACCATACTGTTATGATCTCAGCCTGCAGGAGAAACGAGTCTCCCTCCTTGAGAGTTATTCATCAAGCCTGACCTAACCAGAAGGTCTAAGAAATATAGAGGTGATAACCCATATGTAAAATGGTTGCTTGGATATATATAACAATTTAAGATTATGGGCAATGAAGAAGAAAACAGATAAATGACTGGCTAGGAGATGTGGACATTTTGCTGGAGGCGTGAGGCTCGCTTCTGGAGGGGCTTTGACCTCACTTGAGTGCCAGACATCGCAGGGAGAAGCCGCGCTCCGTTTGAGCTCCCGTCAGAAGGGAACCCCTAGTGATATATCTCGAAGAGAAGAGAAGTATGCAGATGTGCCAGCTGTAGAATCGAGCTGGGAACGTTGTGGTCTCAAG